TATATTATTTATTAAAATAAATAAGTACATATTTTGAAATTTAAAAAACTATTGAATTTGAGATTAAAAATACTTAAGACCTAGCCCCGGAGCATCGCCCGGGTCTAAGAGCTAGTTCTACCACTAAAATTGAATATTTGGTCACTATTTGGGCCATGCAATACTTTCACTCTACATCTATAGAAAAGAATTAGAATTAGTTACAAATCACCAAACCTTGAAATAGTTTTTAAACAACTTACAACTTACTAGTAAACTTGTATAGTAGATTATAATAGTCACCAAATATCTATACATAATTTATTACAAAAAAGAACTTATACACGCTAATGTTGATGCTCTATTAAGAATTTTTCACAAACCCTGTAAAAAAGAGAAAAGCAAAATAATAAATTAATTAAAAAAAAAAAAAAATTCTAAAAACAACAACAATCAAATAAAATTATTCTGATATAGCTAGACTATACTTTTATTAAAAGAAAGAGAAAGATTATAAGTTAAAAAAAAAAAAAATTTTATTATTATCAATTAAATAGATTTACAACAGTACTACTAAATCAAAACATATCTAAAAATCTCTAAAATTCCAGAAAACTTGAATCAAAAGCAACAAAAAACATTCTGAAAGCAAGCTATTCATTATTTTATTAGTAAAAGCCTCTTATATCATAAGAATAAAAATATTGACAGACTATCATTACGTGTAATTAGAGAAAATGAATTAGAAAAAGTACTTTATGAGATCCATTCTAATGCTATAGCAAGACACTTTGGTGTAGAATCGATCTACAATAGAGTAAAAAATAAGTATTTTTAGCTATGAATATACAAGACTATTAATGAATATATACAAACCTGTGATATATATTAGCGACAAGAAGCTCTACAACTATATGAAGGATTATATCTGCTTGAAATAGAAGCCTCTTTTGACAAAATCAAAATAGACATTGTTGAACCTTTCAAGGATATAACAGAAAATGAAAAATTGTTATATCATCATAGCTATAGAATATCCAACAAAGTAGGCTAAGGCTCGCACGATTCCTAACATAATGGCACCTACTATAGTATGGTTCATTTACAAAAATTTTATTTGTCATCATGATTGTTCCAAAGTCCTACTATCTAATTAAGAACATTTCTTTTGTAATGAAATTATCAATACCTTGTATGAAATTATATCTATACACCACTATCTCGCTGCTGCCTACTATCTACAGACAAATAGTTTAACCAAAAGGGTTAATAAAATCCTTTGTTCTATTTTGACAAAGCTTGTAGGTAATTATAAAACTACTTGGAACACTCTATTACCTGCTACCTTGTTTGCATATTGTATTCTTCAAAATCATATCACCAGATTCAATCTATTTTATCTTCTATATAGATAACATGTCACTATACCATTAGATCTACAATTACAAGAGGAAAAAGAAACTCCAGAAATATCAATAGAACAATCGTTAGAACAATATATTAAAAAGATTACTAAACAGCTGTACTAGCAAAGACTACAAGCTCAGGATAACATTCACAAGGCTCAACAATAACAAAAAAAATATCATGATAAAAAATAAAACTCACCAAGTTTAAAATTAGAAATTAAGTTCTACTGTATGAATCTGCTAAAAACAATGTTTATAGTAACAAGCTATGAAAAAAGTAAAAAGGGCAGTGTTATTTGTCACCTGATTATTTTTTATCAGAGATTTACCCCCTCTCCCCCTCTTAATATAAAAAAATCAGGTTCTTATATATAATTTTAATTTTTTTTACCCTCTCCCCCCTAAAAAATCACCTAATTTTTGTCATGTCCCTTATGGTATACCAGAAATATATAAGTTATGAACTCTAGAAAGAAAAGTATTAAAGAATATAATAAATACAAATTAATTAAAAAAATATTATAGCCATT